TTAATTTTATATTAGATATATATTTTGTGTATTTAATATGGAAAACTGACTGTAATTTTTGACAGGTAAGTTTATATACATAAATGTGCCTATATATCAAAATATTTTATATTTCTCTGAATCTATATGAATATTATCTCAAAGAAAAAATTAAAAAGAATAGAAAAAATTTGAATGTATATTGAATGTTCTAAATTCTTTGCTAAATTAAAATAATGTCAATAAATTTTGTTTTATATTTTTCAGTTGTAAAAATATAAAACGTTCATTTATTCAGTTGTAACAGTAGTATAATCACTGGTAATATATATTTAATGATAACAGATGTATAATATTAGGCTCGAAGAAGTTATTAGTGTAAATGGTTATAGGTGACTTGAAATTGTTGTCATATGAAAGAAATAGATCTAGGCATGATAAAATTAATTGTCGTTGAAATATAAGAAATTTTGCTTGATGAACCGAAAACTTACTTGCCAGAATTCAGTGTCAAGCAGTGTTGATGTCTGTTATTTGACTTTACATTAGACTCTTTAAAATAAAGCAAAGTATGAATTTTACTATTTATAGTAACAAATAATAACAGTTTCAATTTTAAATGATTTTAATTTTTTTGTTTTTGTTTTTTGTTTTGTTTTTGTAAACTTAAACATAATTGTGTTCATTTTTTTTTTTTAGTTGTCTTTGTCATCACTTGATTATTTTGCTTACTGTTGAAACATGGTCTTAATTTTGTTAATTTAATATGATGTGAAATTTACAATATTAATCCTTTGTCAACAGTTAGAGAGAAGCTGGAACTTAATTAAGAAATGCTGGAAATTAACTTTTAGTTAAGGTAAAAATAGTTTTGTTTATTGGTAGCATAATAAAACCAGTTACTGTTATTTATTGCATGACTTTTTTATTTTTTCTAACATGCTGTTTTTAAAACACTTCCTGTCTCTCTCTTAGATGAGGCTTAATAAGAATTAGTATTGAAATTTATAGAGAGAGAATTGATTAAACTCTGTAATTACTGAGCTCTGATTAAACTCTGTAAATACTGAGCTCTTGCGTATTTTTTAATACTGCGATTGATAATTTGCTATTTAAAGATATAATTCTTTTAATTGTCCCTTGGTTGTTCAAATATTGTAATAAATAAAATCTTTCAATTTCAAGTATTTTTTTTGGGATCGTCTATATGTTACCATGGTGGCCACAGTCCTGGAATGTCCTGGATTTTTGCAAGTGTCCTGGAATGTCCTGGAAAATTACATTTTTTTTGAAGAATGTCCTGAAATGTCCTGGAACTTTTTTTTTTCTGAGTCAAGTTAAAATATTACTAATAATATTGAAGTAATATTACATTTTTTATGCGAAAATTTTTTTTATATAAATGGTTTGAATTTAATTTTAAATAAGATAGTAATAATAGTATAATATTCTATTCTATAATTCAATCAAAATAAAAAAAATATTACATAAAGATAATTGATAATATTCATTTAATAAGATATAAAATGTCCTGGAAAACGCAACAAAATGTCCTGGAATTTAACTTTTAAAATTTTGTGGCCACCATGTATTACGTAACGCGAAATTAAACATATAGAAAAAATTAAATATCTCAAAAACCGTGTTTCACTCATGGTCAACTATATGCTGCATTTTCAAGAACTATAGCATTTAATAGTTTGTTTTTTAAAATTGATAAACATCTTATTCGAGGTATAGTAGGTAAAAAAATGTAACATAAATATTGTTATATTTTTTAATGTTCTTAATTTATAGTCTTTAGATTTTCATTTCGAAAATTTACTGTTAAAGGTTGTGAGCACATTTTGTATGTATAACTTTATTTATCATTATTTATTTTTTTTCATAGTTTTTGGTAAATATATCTATCTTTCAATAGTTGTAAAATGTGTTTATACGTTTTACATAAAGTCATATTTGTTTATAGTTGTATATATGTTTAAATTATAAAAGCCAAAACAACAACTTATATCTTAGTTTGATTTTTTTTTTTAGTATTGTTAATGCTTTGGTACTTCGAAACTTCGATAAATCCTTAACTGCAATTTCAAAATAGGTTACTATAAATAGGTAAATCGATTTTTGGTAATTGTGTGGTGGTTTTTGTTTTGTTTTTTTCTTTGTAATTATGATATCATAATTTCATGACTTTTTTATTTTAGAATTACGTTAAGACGCATTTGTAAGATTTATAAAATAAAAAAACCTGATTTCTTTTTATTGTAAATTTTTGTTAGTTAAAAAGATATAAATATATACTATTAGTTAATTTTATATTTTATCTATTTTATGCCTAATAATATGTTGTACGTATTTGTAAGATTTATAAAATAAAAAAACCTGATTTCTTTTTATTGTAAATTTTTGTTAGTTAAAAAGATATAAATATATGCTATTAGTTAATTTTATATTTTATATATTTTATGCCTAATAATTTATTGTACGTATTTTAAGGGGATTTTTGTAAATGGGGGGTCGTTACTGAAAACCTTTAAAAATATGGAGAATATTGTAGTTTAGCGCATTAATATCGAGTTACTTAAGTTTTATTTATGTGTTTAACTAATTAGTTAGCTTAGTCTGTATTTGCAACACTTTTAAGGAAAGAAAGAAAACATTCTTATATATGTAGATCATTGTTTTACATTTTATTATTATTTTATTCACCTGGCACCATTAAAGCAAAAAGAAGGGATGAACCTCTTTATTTGAGCCAAAATATTTAGGAAAATTAAATTTCGAGTTACAAAAGGAATTTTTAGTAAATGGTGGCAAATTACCGTTTACTAAAAAATTAATAAAATAAAGAGGCCAAACAAATAATATAGAAATGGTCTGTGTTGAACAGACTTAACAAGACCCGGGTTGGGTCAGCTTGGTTTACAAATTTTTATGTCTACTTATATCTTATAATTTTTATTTTAGGTTTGTCGTATGATGCATTAATGCATTAAAAAATTTGTTATACCCATGTTTGATAGTAAATTAATTCTTTTTTTTTTGAAGGTATTTGTACTCAGTTGCGTAGTTATTTATAATAAACTTTGTTATTTTTAATAAATTTGATTAAATGTGTGCATTTAACATTTTTAAGTTAACAATTTTCTTTTCTAAAGAACAATTAATCAAGGGGATACCAAAAAATTGATAACTCCTGTATGATATAAGTTAACTTCATTTTAACCTTAATGGTTCGTATTATAAAAATTATTACAAGGATTTAGTTGATACTTTCGTCAATTTAAAGCATGACCAAGTGTTATTATTTTGTGTCAGTAACTAAAAACGTATTGTGATAAACTTAGGAAGGTCGATGAAAATGGTTCTGCCTTTCACTGTTATGACCTATGCCATTTGTAAATTACATAAATAATGTTAAGTAGTAATTGTAAATGTTAAGTAGTAGTTGGTAAATTATTTTACCTCCTCATACATTTTATGTTAATTTTACAGATGGATTAATTTTTTCAAGCTGAAGGCGATTTTCTAAAAGGGTATTAGTTAAGATTTTGCAACATTAAATTGTGGAAAACAGCCCAATATAAATTAATTATGTAACAGACCGACCAAAACCCGTATTACGGGTTGCTTTTAGCTAGTTTAGTATTAATGAGTATCACATATTATTTTATAGTTATTATATATATATATTAATATTATCAGATGAATATATCATATATATATATATATATATATATATATATATATATATATATATATATATATATATATATATATATATATATATATATATATACATTTTTTATAGATTTTCAAGTATGTATTTTTATTATAAATTTCTATAAATAAAAAAATGATTTTAACTTTATAAAGAAACGACTTAATTATTTTTTCTTTTTGTTTACATTATTGTGATGAATTGTTAAATATCTTTTTTTAACTTTTGCTAATGTGCATATTTATTAAATAATCATAAGATGTCAAATGTTACTTTATTTAAATGGGTCGTTTATAATATTTTATTATAAAAATATTAGTCAAGATAAATGATTCAAAGTTGTTTATTCCATACATAAATTAAAAAATCTTATCTTTATAGTTTATTATTTATTTAAACTTATTATTATTGATTCATTATTTTTATTTTATTTTTCGTTATTTTTTTTTTACGAAGAATTGTTTGCTACTTTTAAGATAAGTTTTTTTTGATAAGTTTTTAAGATGAGTTTTTTTTTTAATTTTTTTCTTAATTAAAATAATTTTTAAAATGTATAAAAATTTTCAAAACATCATTACAGCAGTGGTCAAAATTTTAAAATCAAATTGTTTTGTGTAGTCTTATTATGGAGTGAAATCGCATGCCTTCCTGACCAAGTCTGTATTCAATGTTCTGCAACTTGGTGCTATGAGTACATTTTTCATCTAGACTATAAATTCTGTCCAGTATATGGTACTGACAACTGATAAAATACAGATTGTTGTTATTTTTTCCAAGAACATTGTATTCCATAAATGTTCTTTGCTGATACAGCCAGTGTTAAGTCAACACTGGTTGTATCAGCAATGATCATCTTTTTTAAATCCTAAAAGTTGTATTCATCAAGAACTGTATTTATTATTTCCTACAGCAATAGTTTTATCCTTGCCATCTTTTACCTGCAACTTGTTTAACTTAACTTCAGTTCTCTTATTCTAAAGTACTACAATGTTCCTTAAATGGTCAATAATTAAGGGTCAATGTTCCTTAAATATCTTTTCAATTATTTCAGCCTCAAATTTAGCAGCCCTACCGAATGTTGGCATGTAAATTGCTACTTGACTTTATGTGATAATTGCTGGCAAATTTTATCAACTTTTTATTGATACAATATTTTTTCATTATTATTATTGTTAAGTTGAACCCTTTTTTCTTTAATCAAAGCGTAAAATCTACTTGAACTTACAAATCCCCTTTTTAATCTTGTAGATTTTTTTTCAGTAAACTCACAAGACAAAAATAAGTTTGAATAATCAAATACCTTCATAGCAGGATATTGAGCATACGGAGCTGTACCAGTTGCTAACTCAATTGCAGTTATTCCAAAACTCCAAATATCAACTTTGTGATTGTATCCACTTGCCTAATTTAAAATTCAATAAATTTAAATTTATTTTGAAAGATTTATTTGTTTAAAAATTACAAACTTTTACAAAACAATTTATCAACGAGATGTTTAGTTACAATTTTATTGAACTTTTTCTGCCAAAAGAACCTGCCTGTTCCATAACTTCTGGAGCCATCCAACAAGGAGTTCCCACAAATGTGCTTCGCATTCTATGACCACGATCAGAAAAATCATGTGTGGTAGAGCTAACTCCAAAATCTAAACAAAAATCAGAACAAAAAATTTCCTTAAAATTTAAATATTTTAATTTATGAAAAATATTATTTTATATATATATATACATATAATATATATATATATATATATATATATATATATATATATATATATATATATATATATATATATATATATATATATATATATATATATATATATATAGCATCCTAATTATCGACTTTCGGGAACGTTATTTTTGTTCCCGTTTGGTTGTTTTTTTTTTACTTTTTTTATACTATTTTTATCATATTTATATGTTTTTTTTAAATTTTTATTTTATTTCTATTTTTATTTATACATATTTAAATTTATTATTTTATTATAAAAATATGTTTTTTATATTAATTTTTGTTGTTTTTATTTATTTATTTTTATATTATATTTCATTTTTAACTTTATATATTTACAAAAACAATTAATTACAATAATATAACCAAACTTAAACCTTGACGTAACCCTAACCCTAAGCCTGACCTTGATGCCTGGCCAAACCAGACCCTTAGTCGATGTAGCAGCACTCCCTTGGGAGTCAGGCTATTTGTCAGTCGATGTATGTACATTCGTTCTCTATAAAAGTTACTTACAGGTATACTTTTTTACAAAAAAAAAATCATGCTTACGGGGACAAAAAATTAACGGGTACACTAAAATGTCCCAAATAATGCTAATGTCCCCGTAAGTATTTGTTTTGTAAAATCTGTCCCCGTAAGTGCTAAACTATACAAATATATATATATATATATATATATATATATATATATATATATATATATATATATATATATATATATATATATATATATATATATATATATATAACCCTCGGAATTAGGGTCGGCATTCGGCAATGTCGACCTAACTGCCGACTTAAAATTATTTAAGGTCGGCAAAAAATTGCCAACCTTGTTTCGATGTTTTATGTTAACCTCTTATTTGGTGAGGTTTGTTATAAAAAGTATATAGTTAAAATTTTTTTGCAAACTGAAAATGGGAAGTGGTCTCCCAAACCCTATTTTGGAACCCTAAATTGACCAAAATTTGTCTAAAAACTTAATCTTGTAATTCTACTTTTATTTCATAGAAAATATTGCTATAAATTGATCTAAAAAGAAATAATATAAAGTCTTATAATGTTACAACATAGGTAGTTATCAGAAGACTGGAAAGTACAAGCAAAGTTAGATTAACCCCCCTCAGCATTATTTACTCAAAATCGCTCCTAAATGCCTATTTTGATTTCAAAGACATTTTATTTGCTATAATTTCAAGTAAACTTTTTCTAAGTAAACTTTAGCTCAGAAATTAAATTTGTATAAATTTATTAATAGTAATGACATGGTTGGCCATTGTTGGGTGGGAAAGGGTTAGGAAAGAATGGGGGGTGGGTGTATTATCTAAGACTTTTAATTTCTTTTTTATGCTTTGAGCACTTTATAATTATTAAATTTCTGTTATATTCTTTCTATCAAAGTAAAAAAGTATAAAAATATTACATAAGAAGATGGCTGCTTTAAACAAAGCAACATGCTCAACTACAAATGTTTGGCTAGTTGGACATATTCTCTCCACAATAGATGGACCGAGTCAGTTTCCAACAAATGGTGTTGCACTATGTAGAGTTTTTTATGAAATGATAGTCAAAAAGTCAACTCTTTTAATATCCTGCAACACAGTTGCAGACGAAGTTATGATTTTCTGGCTTTAGGCTAATATTCCAACTACAGCAAAGCCTTATGTAGTTGCTAAACTAAAGAGTATTTACAAGCAACATGTTCAAGTGTCTAAGCACAGAAGTAGAAAATCAGCTACTCAACACAGCTATGAAAAAAAATTCACCACCAAGTCTACACTTTTTGATATTGACCATAGTGAATGGGATTGTCTCATCAAAATAAATGAAGATAAACAATTTCAGATAGACCAGAGAGACCCCCAAAAGATATTAATGAAATTGGAGGACTTAATGTATAAGAAAGCAGTTGTAAAATACAGAAAATGCAAGCTTAAAGAAAAAAGTTAAATCTACAGAAACATTAATGGATGACAATTCAGATTACTCTTTGGATGAAAATTCTGACTGTGATACGTCAATTCAAATACAAAAAGTTTTTAATCTTCAAAAAATTTCAAAACATTCTACTATGGGCACTAGTCAACTCTCAATTACAGTATCCAAACGTTGTATTCTTGACAACTAACTCTTTCATGCACATGGTGGCCACAAAATTTTAAAAGTTAAATTCCAGGACATTTCCAGGACATTCCAGGACATTTTGTTGCATTTTCCAGGACATTTTATATCTTATTAAATGAATATTAATAATTATCTTTATGGTATATTTTTTCATATTGATTGAATTATAGAATAGAATATTATATTATTATATTATAATATAATTATTACTCTCTTATTTAAAATTAAATTTAAAACATTTAAATAAAAAAAATTTTCGCATAAAAAATTTAATATTACTTCAATATTCTTAGTAATTTTTTAACTTGACTCAGAAAAAAAAAAAGTTCCAGGACATTTCAGGACATTTTTGAAAAAAATGTAATTTTCCAGGACATTTCAGGACACTTGCAAAAATCCAGGACATTCCAGGACTGTGGCCACCATGCATGCAGCATTAGACTGAACAAAAATAACACCACAACAAGCCGTGATGGTTGTCACACCAGCCCTAGCTGCAATCGATATTGATATGAATAAATTAACATTATCACGTTCCACTATAATAGAAGCTGGAACTACATCTTGCGAATCTCTTTCAATAGCAGTAAGAAAAGATTTTTAACCCTTGGTTCCGCTAGTTGCTCATTTTGATGGTAAAATGTTTTCGTATGTTGATAGAACCAGACGTGAATGTCTGACAATTGTTGTATCTGGCTTGGATATTGAGATATTACTAGGGATCCCTGAGATAACTGCTGGTACTGGTGCTCTGATGGGACAGAAGGTAGTTAAGTTCATTTATAAATGGCCTGGCATAGAGGAGCATATTGCAGGTCTTCGCTTTGACACAACTGCAAGTAATACAGGAAGTTATAACGGGGCAATAACTGTCATACAGAAGTCAATGAACTGAGAGTTTTGTTTTTAGCCTGTCGACATCATATTCTTGAAATCTGTGCAAATGCAGTGTTTGATACGTTTTTTGTATCAAAAGGACCAAACATTGAACTTTTTGGTAGAGTGAAGTCTCAGTGGGAGTTAATAGAAAAATCAAAGTTTGAACCACTTGAAAGTGATACAAGTGGAACTGGATGCCTTACAAAGCTTGAAAAAGAGTGGCTTGCATCTTGAAAATCTGATGTGCTGGAAAATTAAAAAAAAAACTTAAAGGACACTCAGCCACATGATGATTATAAAGAGTTTGGGCAACTAGCTCTTCTCCTTTTGGGAGAAAGTAATGATACAACAAGTATTTGCACTCCCGGGGCTTACCATCGTGCAAGATGAATGGCTAAAGGAATATACTGTTTAAAAATTTTTGGTTTTTGTCATCAATTAAATGTCACATTATGGTACTTAAGTGAAGATCTAGCTGCTCTCCCATTACCCAGTGAAGAAATTTCTGTTGAAGAGGAAATGGAAATTGTAAAAAAAAACATTACCAGGTGACAATAGAAGGCTTGCTTCAAACAAGATTTATACATTCTCTAAACTTTCTATAGCTTTAAATGTGAAAGAAAATAACATAGCAGAAAGTAATAATAATGCAAAAGAAATTAACTTTATGAAAGAAAAGAAACATGGTTGTAAAACAAATAATACAGGAAATGAAAGTAATAGTAAAAGAAAAAAATATATATTCAAACTTTGCTTTCAATTAAATAATCTTTCAAAAATTAAAAGAAACATTAAAAATATAAAAAATATTTAGAGTATAAAAAATAAAGGTAGAGTGAATACCTGCTAATTGAACACTGCCATCAGCACCCAATAAAATGTTTCCTGCTTTCACATCCCTTGTAAAATATTTTTTATAAATATTATAATGACAATAATCCAAACATTTATTTTATTCATTTACTTATTTTAACAAATTTAATGCAAGCAATCATTAAGTTAGAATTTAACCGATAACAATGAGTAAAAGAGCAAGAAAATGATTTAAAAGAAAATGGTTGACAAAAGATTTTGAAGAAAATATTTGACAAAATGCTTAAAGGAAAATTGTTGACAGAAAACTTACCTGTGAATATGACCATTTTTGTGAAAATATTCTAGCCCTTTTAAAACTTCTCGCAAAATAGTGGCAATAACAACTTCATCAAGCACACCCTGCAATGGGTCAATTTGACCACTTTTCATTAGATGTTTTAATATATCAAGCACTGATCCTATAATAACAAAACTTAAGAATTTAAATTTAAAAATTAAATATGTAACAACTTTTTTTTTTATATATTTATATTTTGTAAAAGAAGGGATTAGAAGAATTATTCATATCTCTGGAGCGCTCTACCACTACACCACTACCGCATTATTATACTTGCAAACTGTATGTTAAAAGTAAAAAAAAAATTCTTGTTTTGTATTTTTACTATTAGGTTATTTTTGTTTGTATATACATTTTTTTAAAAAACACTGTTTGTGGATGGATTGATATATTCATTTATAACAGACATTCAATTTTACAATACAAACTAGTTTTAACCAATTTAAAACCAAATTGTAAAAAAAAATTATAAAGAGAATGAAGTAATAAAATTAGAAATTAAAGTAGCTAAAACAAAAGGTAAAAATTATTAATAATATCAACCAAGCTTCTATTACCTCCTGCAAGTAACTTCATAACAATCCACAATTCTTGTTTTACAATGAAAGAAGTATAGTAATTAACAACATTTTCATGGTTACATTGACCCATTGTATGAATCTCTTTCTAAATAAAATTAAAACTTCGAAAATTTTAAACAAAACTTTCTCATATTTGAATAATTTTGAACAGATTTTTAAATAAAAACACACTCTCATTTCATCTATATCAGCACCACATTTTTCTAAATCAATACGTTTGATAGCTACTTTTTCATCCAGAGGAATATACCTTGCAGCTTGAACAATAGCTGTTGCCCCATAACCTAGAAATATAACCTTACTTATTTTACATACAACAAACAATGATTTACTTTGTTTAACATAATTACTACTATAATACACAAAAACAAAACAAATGAAAACTCAAAATGGTTAATCATTATAATAGAAAATGTACTAAGCATACTTAAAGTAAACAAAGACCTAACTAAATTAAAATATATTTTACTAAAGCAGTGTCATAGTGTATTCAGATAGTTTTTTTTATTTATTTTGACATATCCAATTAATATTAAAACCAAATAATAATGTAAAATGTTATTTGGTTTTAATATTATTTGACATTAACAATTTAATATTAAACTCACATTCCTTAACTATATAGTATAACTTATAACAGTTTCATCCTTTTAAATATATATATATATATATATATATATATATATATATATATATATATATATATATATATATATATATATATATATATATATATATATATATATATATATATATATATATATATATATATATATATATATATATATATATATATACATAAATGTATATACATAGAATGCCAGCTAAAACATCACTGATAAAATCATAGAAATGTTTATAATATCAAACAAAAGCTTAAATTCAAAAGTTTATTTTTTAATTTTTTGTGAAAATTTTAGCCTTTTGAATAAGTGTTGTAAGTGTGTATTAGATAATTTTTATAATTAATTTGTAAATTGTTGATTTTAATAAGGGCCCATTATTTTTTTATTAGGTTTTTTTAATGAAGTAAAAAAAGTATTTGATTTTCCAGGCAGTATTTATCAAAATGATGCCAATTCAGATAGTTAAGTGCATATATATAATTGATTGTAAAAAAATTAACACTCAAACAAACTGAAGTTTTGTAATTAAATTTAAATACTAAAAAACCTTTAAATATGATTGGCTGACTTTCTTTACACAAAACTATACTTTTATTGGATGATGATGATCAATGCAACCACTACTTTTCAAAATAGAATAAAAACAGAAAAAAACCCAGTAATTTAATGAAAACATTAGGTTGAAGGAAATCCGTATTGCACAAAAATTATTGCACGACTGTTGTTCAAATATACATTTGCACTACAATTAATAAAATATTATACATATGTTTAATTACATAAAATGTTACACATGTTTCATGTGTAACATTTAGAAGAGAGAAACTTAGTTTAGAAGAGAAAAACTTTTGTTGCAAACTGTTAACATTGTTTTATAATAAATATAAATAAAAAAAAATCTTACACTAAAAAAAAAACTTTTACAAAAACTTTTATTTTAATCATATATAACAACTCAATAGCAACATTCCTTTTTGTCTGCTCGAAGTTAGTATATAAAAAATAAAAAACCTTAATTTTTCAATTTGTTATATTAATGAAAAAATTATGCGTAAATATTTCATAAATGCAGTGTATTATTTTTTTAGAAATTCAATAACAGTGTATTATTTTTTTAGAAATTCATTTGTTGATTATTTTTTAGTACAAACTTAATTTTAATTAAAACTAAAATAAAAAATACGCATTTTTAATTTTACAGTCAATGCTATATATGCATATGTAATTGGTAAAAGATTCAAGAGATAACTCAATAATTTTAACCAGAAAGAGTCGTATTTGTCCAAAAATCTTATTAGCATATGTCATATTAAAGTGTAATGATGCTGAATATGTCCAGAAAGAAATAAAAAAGACCTTGCTTAAAGTTTTCATTGAAAATTTATTGTTTTTAATTCTTTTAACAACAAAAAAAAACTTGCTTTAAAATTGGTTTAATACAAACTTCTCCCCCTCCAACCAAATATTTTATCGAACTATTAATTATCCTACATTAAGAAACCTATAAACTATAAATTAAGACACTACTTAATTTACTTTTTGAAGACACTGCAATTATAAAAATTCACTGCATATTTTTTTATATTATAATGCAGTGATATTTTTTGATATTCTAATTTTACTACCTTTTCTAGCGGTAAACTGAAAGTTCTAAAAATTTATACGGTAAAAATATCACATAACTGCTTTAAATTACATTAAAAAATTGGATTTGTTTTTTTTTTGATGAATTTTTATTTTTTTACTAAAATAGCCAGAACCTCTTTTTCATTTTCTGCAAATGATATTAAAAATAATTTAATTCTCTCAATTTAAAGCAAAATAACTAGAGGATTTATTTTTTTTATAGGTACTTTTTGTATATCGTCTAAAAAAGATGCAAGATGCTTTATCCCATAATGTTAAAATTGTTGTTAAATGGTTCATGTGTGTGTGTGCGTGTATGTAAGCGTGTGTGCGTGCGTGCGTGCGTGTGTGTATGTGTGTGTGTGTGTGTGTGTGTGTGTGTGTGTGTGTGTGTGTGTGTGTGTGTGTGTGTGTGTGTGTGTGTGTGTGACAAAATAATACAACAATTTTTATTAAACGTAAGTAACCTATATAAATTTAAATATTTTAAATTAAATAAATATGCATAATTTTCTCGAAAAGAACATAGTTGAGTAGCAACTAAACACAAGTATAAGCTTAACGAATTAATAAATTTACTTAGCAAAATATCTCTTTAACTTTGTTTTAAACTTTTTTACTTAAAAAAAAACTAAAAAATTCAGGGAATAAATAGTACCTATTACTTCTAATAGTTCATAATCATCATGGTTATTAGACCAGGCTGATCTAGGTTTAGTATCAACGGTTAGAACCGTCGCCATGTTTTGTTTGGAAGTTGACTTTTGTCTTGATTTCCCAAAAAGCCAGCGTCTGATTTTAAGACACATTGCGTCCAATGAGAATTCATGAGTCAAATACTTTTGGGGGTAACGAACAGATCACAAACAAATACTTTTATGTTGATAGAGTAAATTATATGTCTAAATCCAAGTATCATAAAATATGTAAAAAATAAAAATAATGATTTTGCTCAATAATAACCAAATCAAAAATCCATACTTGTTTAAAAAAATTCTTCTTACTTTCCAATAACTTAAGTAACTTTAAACTGTAGAAAATAAATATATATTACAAACTAACTTTACACTAATAAATAATCAAATTAAAAATAAAGACATTTTAAAGTTTTTTTTTTTAGTAATAAATATTTATAAAAATACTTGTTATCATTCTTTATAACTGTTTGCATTAAAACTATGCTAAGTATTTATCGACGTTTTTACTAATACCTAATTTAACAAATTCTTTTCATTTCGATGGTGCAACAAACAACGGTATTAAAACTTAAAATACTATAATACCAAATGTGAGGCAAGTTTTTTTATTAAACGGACATCCTGTGCAATAATATAACTCAAAAACTAAACTTTTTTTTTTAATTCCTATTTAAAAATTATTTTATTCAAACTTCAAGTCATTCTGTGTAATCGATAATTATTTATTTTTTAATTCCCATAGAAAGTACTGCGGTCAAAACGGTTCGGAGAAAGATTTAAGAAACATATTTTCTAACTAGTTAGAAAACTGGTATTATCAAATACTGGTGATTATTTTTTATATTATACAATATATTGACAATGAGGCGACAATTTTCTTTTAATGATATTTGAAACGCCTAATTAACACGAAATCTATACACATTTTTTAAATTTATTTTGATCGATTTTATAAACATTTATTAAAACAGTTAATGTATAAAATCTTGTGATGGGTAAAACTAAGTCTTTTCTTTGAAATTGACTTTTAGAACACGCTGCTAGCCACGTAACTTCTAATTTTATTATTTTTTTATTGTCCTGTTTATATAAAGATTTTATTTACATTTCACATAAAATAAATAATTTAATTACAAACCTTTTTATATTATTGCCGAACTTAATAGTGCTGTTAGTAATAGTGTTAGTACCCGTTCGAGCATGTTTGACACGGAACTCTTGGAAGCCATTGCGACCGAGATAATGACAAGAAAAAGTCGTAGGACTTTTTTTAAAAGAAAACGTGAACGAAAATGTATGCAAATATATAACTTATGTAAACTTCAAATTGCGTAATGTTTAAATATACTAAAATATATCAAGTTTTACAGTTTTACTTTCACTTGAAAATTGCATTTCAGCAACATCTCCTTTTTGATCTATAGCACTTATTTGCATTTTATAAAGTCTTTTGTTTGTTAGATAGTTTTAAAATTTTTGATAGATAACTCGCCTGCATGATCGAGTGGTTAGCTCGCAAAGATTTCTGAATCAAAGAGCCGAGTTTCGAATCCTACCATTGGCAACTTATTTTTTATCTAAATTCCATAGCACCTTATATAACATAATATAACAATAAACAAATATGTTATTAGCAAATGTAAAAAATTCACTTATATAACATTTCATTCAGGATATACAAAATTTTCTAATAATTACGAGTCTGTTTTGCTAAAAGTGTTTTGTTTTGAATTTTTGTTTTCATGTTATTATATTTAATAAAATTGACCAGATTGAAAAAATGCGAAACATATTGTCTCGTCCAATTGGAAAATTTGAAACTTCGATTTTAGATTTGTCAATACTCTCCCCTCTCTTGATATTTTCGGTTTGCTAAAATTACGTCATCTTTTTAGTTTCTCCATTTGTATAGCATTATGTATAAACGTGTGTACGTGTAAACGTCATTATAAGTTGGATAACGTCAGGATAAGTTGATTTTGCCGGACGTATATTGAACGACCGTTTATAATATGTGCACTATATGGGGAAACTTTTTTTTTTATCAGTGAAAAGTTTATTTTGTTATGTATATTTTTTTGCCATAAATATATACAGCAAGATTAAAAAAATATCAAAATTTATTCCGCATTGGGGAGGACTTAAACTCCCCAAAACAACACTGATGACAGCGCTCTAAACCACTGAGCCGTTGAAGAAATACGCCTAGGAGTAAAAACAAACCATTTTAAAAATCTCTTATAAGTTCTTCGTAGGCTGAAAAGTTGTGCATGTTAATTTTTTTCGCTCTTAAAGAAACTTTTTAGAACTAATTATTTACTAAAAAAATTTTTAGAATTAATTATTTACTAAAAAGTATTGAAGTAAATAAGGAATAAGCATAGGAATGATTGGTGTGGAATAGATAAGTATAGAAATGGTCGGTTTGATGTAGACCCGTATTTTATGGGTCTGGACAAATAGAATATATAAATAAATATATAAACAAAAATCCGTATTTTTAATGCTCTGACTCGCTATTATATAAATAATAAACGGACAAGTGAATATGGAAGGCATAACACCAATAAAATCTTTTCATAAAGCTACTACAGGTCATAATAAAGTTCAAATATACTTGATAATAAACCGTTTCAAAGAGCTCATAAGTTTTAAATTAAATACAAATAATCTCAAAAAAATTTTATTATAAAAAAATTCTAATTAAAAACATTGTGATTATCAGTCAACAAAATTTAAAATGTATTATTTTACTTGAAGCTGAAATAACTTTAATAATTTTCCCATATTAAAATACTTTTTCAGGAAAGACTAGGTACTCGATATGTTATACAATACTCTGCGTATTTACTTTTAATGTTTGAGATTTAAACAACTTCATATAAATTCTTGCCATAATTATAATTTGAAAAAAAAAAAAATAGATTTGTATTCAAAGTTACCCCGCTTTTCAAAGTAACCCCGGTTTACGGTATATATAACTTTTAGTTTGTTTTTAAAAAATACTTTTGATTTAGATTTTTATTAACGTTCAGTGCCGTGAAAAAGTGTAAGGTGTTAGAACTGTATTATATGGCTTATCTAGACTCATTCTACATTTTGATTGCTCTGCTATGGCAAAGTAGATTAACCAACTCGTACCTAGATATGTTTTTTTTTAAAGCTTATTTTACATTTTGATTGTAGTCTGCTATGGCTAAGTAGAATTACTAACTCCTTTCTAGATGCATCTTTTTTTAGACTCATTCTACATTTTGACTGTGGTCTGTTATGGCCAAGTAGAGTGACCAAATCGTTTTTAAATGTGTTTTTGTTTTATATAGCTAGTTTCTTGTGATGTCTAATAGCCATCTGTACCCTGTCCCCTATATTTTACTTAACGGAGTGTTAAATATTGTCTTTGAAAATATTTTATTCTTTAGAGTGTCACATATAGTCTCTAACATAATTTTCTCTTGATGTATTATAAAGCAAATGTTTTTAGAAAAGGTCATATCATCTTGTTGAATTTGAAATAAACGAACATTTTAACTGATAAAAATGCAAATAAACAAAGCAAATGAACGAAAAATCGGAAAAAAGGAAATGACAAATATGAAAAAGAATTTTCAAACATTTTTGTAATCACTTTTCGCATATATTTTTAATAAAAAAATTTGATCAGCTCCTTAAAAAAAATTAATAAAAATATGTACATGAATAAAACTTGTATTCTTGTGAACAATGAATGATAATACAAAAAGTTTAGCAATTATTAACAGTTTTCTTTAGAAGTAATCATCAAATTACTTTAGTTTTTTACTCTTCTAGCATAAATATTTTTCATGGGCTTACTTAACAAGGCCTTACTTAGTACCTACAACGCGTTTTAAGTTGCAACGTCATACGTTGCAAAGTATTAACTTTGAGGAATTTTCATGCCTTTACGATTTTTGAGCGTAAATAATGGTATTTGCTTTTTTGATGATATTGGTATGTAAAAAAAAGGGTTTTTATAAAGTGGTTTTTATATATATATATATTTTTTATAAAGTTTTTATAATATATATATATATATATATATATATATATATATATATATATATATATATATAAATATATATATATATATATATATATATATATATATATATATATATATATATATATATATATATATATATATATATATATATATATCGTCGGGGATAGTGCAAATCCGCGTAACTAGCATTAGCTACTATATTTGAATATTGATAATTTTAACACCAATTATCTATTGTTGACATTACAAAAAACATAAGTATTACTCTTTATACTAAAATGAACCCAAAATCTGTAGCAATAAAAAATATATAAAGTTTTTAATTTCTCCAGTAAAAAAAATGTACTGTAGATACGCGGTATTATCCAATGCTAGTTACGTGGTTTTGCACTATCCCCGACGATATATATATATATATATATATATATATATATATATACAGTATTGGACAAAACATATGCAACCAACACCGAACAATGGTAAAAAGTGTTCCTAATACATGTCTTAAAAAGGAAACGAACTATACTACCACAGCAAACAGTTAAGGTATCTGGAGTCATAGCATGCCATGACATGAGCAATCAGCTGACAGGTGACAGCACACAGGCAGAATTTCGTTGACAAGTGCCATTTTGCAGCGGACAAAACAAGTGCAACTTTTTTGGTTTGTTTTATTTTCATTAGTCTGATCCGTGTCAACGTCACCGAAATTTTTTAATAATTAAAGTAAGTATCCAGAAGTTTCCAGAAGTTTCCAGAAGTATAAAACTACGTAAGTAGAATGTCAAAAATTACGTAAGTGGAATTATTACGTAATTACGTAATAACTCCACTTATTACGTAATAATTCCACAAATTATATAAGTGGAATGTCACGATTACGTAAGTGGAATGTGACAAAAAAGTATTTGTGATAAATATCGCGTGAAAAAATGGACCGTTTCAAGACTATGTTCCAAATATCGTTCTACGGGGAAGTTGGCAGCAGATAACAAAGGTGGAAGACCGCGTTCCACCACTTCTAAAGAGGATTGTATGATCGTTAGATCCGTCAAGAAGGATCTCTGAATATCATCAGTCGAGATACAAAAGCATTTAGAGCTGCCTGTATCGGACCGAACAATCAGACGACGTGCTGTTGAAGCCGGATTGTTTTCTCGACGCCCTGCAAAGAAACCGCTGATTTCACTAAAGAACCAGAAGAAAAGACTCTTGTTTGCTGCATCTCATATTGACTGTAATGTGCAGAAATGGCGAACTGTCCTGTTCAGTAATGAATCGAAGTTAAATATCATTGGGAGCGATGGC